GCCACTGGGCGGCGACAGAGAAATATTGTCTTTATACTGGTTTTTACTGGTTTCTACTGGTTTTTACTGGTCCACATCCTGCACCAGAGCCCCGAGGGGGCCCTGGGGCCCTGCTGGGGTTACTGGGGGATACTGGGAGCTACTGGGAAGACGCTGCAATTCCCAAAACCGCCACTGGGCGGCGATAGAGAAATATTGGTTTTTTACTGGTTTTTACTGGTTTCTACTGGTTTTTACTGGTCCAGATCCTGCACTAGAGCCCCGAGGGGGCCCTGGGGCCATGCTGGGGTTACTGGGAGTTACTGGGAGCTACTGGGAGCTACTGGGAAGACGCTGCAATTCTCTGATTGGACACTGGGTGGCAATAGAGAGATAGTGGTTTTCTACTGGTTTTTACTGGTTTCTACTGGTTTCTACTGGTTTTTACTGGTCCAGATCCGGCACTAGAGCCCCGAGGGGGCCCTGGGGCCCTGCTGGGGTTACTGGGGGATACTGGGAGCTACTGGGAGCTACTGGGGAGACGCTGCAATTCTCTGATTGGACACTGGGTGGCAATAGAGAGCTATTGGTTTTCTACTGGTTTTTACTGGTTTCTACTGGTTTTTACTGGTCCAGATCCTGCACCAGAGCCCCGAGGGGGCCCTGGGGCCCTGCTGGGGTTACTGGGGGATACTGGGAGTTACTGGGAGCTACTGGGGAGACGCTGCTATTCTCTGATTGGACACTTAGTGGCAATAGAGAGATAGTGGTTTTATACTGGTTTTTACTGGTTTTTACTGGTTTCTACTGGTTTCTACTGGTTTTTACTGGTCCACATCCTGCACCACAGCCCCGAGGGGGCCCTGGGGCCCTGCTGGGGTTACTGGGGGATACTGGGAGCTACTGGGGTGACACTACAGTTCCCAAAAGCGCCACTGGGCGGCGATAGAGCGACACTGGTTTTATACTGGTTTTTACTGGTTTCTACTGGTTTCTACTGGTTTTTACTGGTCCACATCCTGCACTACAGCCTTGAGGGGGCCCTGGGGCCATGCTGGGGTTACTGGGGGATACTGGGAGCTACTGGGAGCTACTGGGGAGACGCTGCAATTCCCAAAACCGCCACTGGGTGGCAATAGAGTGATAATGGTTTAATACTGGTTTTTACTGGTTTCTACTGGTTTTTACTGGTCCACATCCTGCACCAGAGCCCCGAGGGGGCCCTGGGGCCATGCTGGGGTTACTGGGGGATACTGGGAGCTACTGGGAGCTACTGGGGAGACGCTGAAATTCTCTGATTGGACACTGGGTGGCGATAGAGAAATATTGGTTTTATACTGGTTTTATACTGGTTTCTACTGGTTTCTACTGGTTTCTACTGGTTTTTACTGGTCCAGATCCTGCACTAGAGCCCCGAGGGGGCCCTGGGGCTCTACTGGGGTTACTGGGGGATACTGGGAGCTACTGGGGAGACGCTGCAATTCTCTGATTGGACACTGGGTGGCAATAGAGAGATCATGGTTTTCTACTGGTTTTTACTGGTTTCTACTGGTTTCTACTGGTTTTTACTGGTCCAGATCCTGCACCAGAGCCCCGAGGGGGCCCTGGGGCCTTGCTGGGGTTACTGGGGGACACTGGGAGCTACTGGGAGCTACTGGGGTGACACTACAGTTCCCAAAGTCAACACCAGGCGGTGATAGAGCGATACTGGTTTTATACTGGTTTTTACTGGTTTCTACTGGTTTTTACTGGTCCAGATCCGGCACTAGAGCCCCGAGGGGGCCCTGGGGTCCTGCTGGGGTTACTGGGGGATACTGGGAGCTACTGGGAGCTACTGGGAAGACGCTGCAATTCTCTGATTGGACACTGGGTGGCAATAGAGAGATAGTGGTTTTATACTGGTTTCTACTGGTTTTTACTGGTTTTTACTGGTCCAGATCCTGCACTAGAGCCCCGAGGGGGCCCTGAGGCTCTGGTGGGGTTACTGGGAGCTACTGGGAGCTACTGGGAAGACGCTGCAATTCTCTGATTGGACACTGGGTGGCAATAGAGAGATAGTGGCTTTATACTGGTTTTTACTGGTTTTTACTGGTTTNGCACTGGGAGGGACTGGGAGGGGATTGGGAGGCACTGGGAGGGACTGGGAGGGGATTGGGAGGCACTGGGAGGGACTGGGATGGACTGGCAGGGGATTGGGAGGGACTGGGATAAACTGGGAGTGGACTGGGAGGGACTGGGAGGGAATCAAAGGGTGATAAAGGAAGGATTGGGGGGCACTGGGAGGGACTGGGAGGGGATTGGGAGGGACTGGGAGGGACTGGGATAAACTGGGAGCCACTGGGATAAACTGGGAGGGGAGTGGGAGGGAGTGGGAGGGGACTGGGAGGCACTGGGAGGGACTGGGATGGACTGGCAGGGGATTGGGAGGGACTGGGATAAACTGGGAGTGGACTGGGAGGGACTGGGAGGGAATCAAAGGGTGATAAAGGAAGGATTGGGGGGCACTGGGAGGGACTGGGAGGGGATTGGGAGGCACTGGGAGGGACTGGGAGGGGATTGGGAGGCACTGGGAGGGACTGGGACAAACTGGGACAAACTGGGAGCCACTGGGATAAACTGAGATAAAATTGAGGGACACTGGAATAAACTGGGAGGGAGTGGGAGGGAATCGAAGGGTGGTAAAGGGGAGACTGGGGGGCACTGGGAGGGACTGGGAGGGGATTGGGAGGCACTGGGAGGGGATTGGGAGGGACTGGGAGCCACTGGGATAAACTGGGAGGGGACTGGGAGGGGATTGAGGGGCACTGGGAGGGACTGGGAGGGGACTGGGAGGGACTGGTGAGACCCCGGCCGAGGCCGAGAGCGAGTGGTTCTTCAGGCCTGAGGGGGCCCCCCACTTCCAGAAGGTCACTGGGATGAACTGGGATAAACTGGGAGGCACTGGGATAAAATTGGGGGGCACTGGGAGGGACTGGGAGGGACTGGGAGGGAGTGGGAGGGGAGCGAGAGGAAGTAGGAGGGGACTGGGAGGGGATTGGGAGGGACTGGGAGGGGATTGGGAGGGACTGGGAGGGACTGGGATGGACTGGGAGGGGATTGGGGGGGACTGGGATATACTGGGATAAACTGGGAGGGAACTGGGAGGGTGTGGAAAGGACTGGGAGAGAATCAAAGGGTGGTAAAGGAGGGATTGAGGGGCACTGGGAGGGGACTGGGAGGGGATTGGGAGGGACTGGGATGGACTGGGAGGCACTGGCAGGGGATTGGGAGGGACTGGGATAAAATGGTAGTGGACTGGGAGGGACTGGGAGGGAATCAAAGGGTGATAAAGGAAGGATTGGAGAGCACTGGGAGGGACTGGGAGGGGATTGGGAGGGACTGGGAGGGGACTGGGAGGCACTGGGAGGGACTGGGACAAACTGGGAGCCACTGGGATAAACTGAGATAAAATTGAGGGGCACTGGAATAAACTGGGAGGGACTGGGAGGGAATCGAAGGGTGGTAAAGGAGAGACTGGGGGGCACTGGGAGGGGATTGGGAGGGACTGGGAGGGACTGGGAGGGGATTGGGAGGGACTGGGAGGGACTGGG